TTGTTTGTATGGTTGTTTGTTTGTTTGTATGTATGTTTCTTTGTATGCGTGGATAAATGAATCTACTTTAAAATATATAAATACTTAGTCGTCAAATTATGGACTTATGTGCAAATACTAAATGAAATTATTCATATAAATTTATAACCAAATTATGAGAATGTTATTTTTTAATTTTTAATACACAAACGAATCAATATCTAGATTATTATTATTAATATTAATTATTATTATTGACAAATTAGAGGAAGATATATTGATAGATAAACGCGGAGATATAGAGAAGACAGAGAGAAAAAACATATCAATACACACACACACACACACACACACACACACAGAGAGACAGACACACACATACACACGCACACGCTCAAATAAATATACACATATATGTGACAGAAAATAACTGAATTGCTTTCATTATTATTCCTATCAATCATTTATTAATAACATTCATCCAAAGCCCAAAAACAGATTAAGCATTTGAATTATGATGTGACGTTGATACATTATATCAAAATATTGGGATAAAGAGGACAGTTTAATTACACAAATAATTAGCTAATTAGATAATTAACTAATTAGATAATTAACTAATTAGATAATTAACTAATTAGATAATTAATTAATCATTAAACTATAAAATAAATTAACAATATCGTATTATAACTGTGGCCAGTTAAGGTTAATTGAAATTCGACATACGCAGTTTGCAAATGGCCGTGCGTTATCTCTTCAAGAATCTTAGAAAATTAAAAAAACATTAAACTAACGATTAGTTATTATTGTTAAATAGATTTGAAAAATCAATTTAATTATACTTCTCTCTCTCTCTCATTACCTCTCTATCTTTTTATTACTATCTTTCTCTCTCACTCACATATTAAAAACCATGGATAGATGATATTTCAGCAAAAAAAAGAACAAATGAATATATAAATGGGTGGCTGACCGAATGAATGAATGAAAAACAAACGAATGAATGAAAGAATGGATGGATGAATGAATGATTGAATGAATGAACGAACGAACGAGTGAGTGAATGAATGATTGAAAGAATGAACGCATGAACACATAGGTAGCTTAAATTTTTTTTAAATATAAAAATGTTGGTTTACAACCAGAAAAAAAAAACAGAAAAGTTAAAAAGTATGCCGGAAACAAAACGAAAAACTAAAAAAAGGTTTAAATGAATTTCAAAATATTACAAAAAATTAATAACGTTACACATTTTCTTTATTCACTCACTCATTCATTCATTTGCATCATATTCACACACACACACACACACACACACACACACACACACACACACACACACACACACACACACACACACACACACACACAAACACACACACACACACTCACACACACACACGTATTATATATTACGATGGATTTATTATTATTTCTAGAGGAGGAACTCAAATGATGAACATCAGTGATATGAAGAATGATAACAAAACATGCTAACAGAACAATAATAACAATAATAATTCAAAAAATGATAACAACAACATTTATTATCATTATATAACAAGTAATAATAATAATTATTATTATTATATTATTTTATTACTTCGTACTTGAAGATTTCAAAAGAGTAGAATGTTCAGTGTGATGACGAACAAAGAGATGGAAGATAAGATATAGCAGACAAAGAGAAAGAAGAATGATGATAACGATGATGATAACGATGATGATAATGGTATTTATGATGATGATAACGATGATGATGGCGAAGAAAAAAATTCAATGAAAAATGACAAAAACTCAATGAAAAAGCATTTAACTTTTTTAAGAGTATTATATATTACCATACGTTACTAATATATATACATGTATATATATATATATATTTATGAACTACTACTACTACCGCTACTACTACTACTACTTTTGCTACTACTACCAAGATTATCAGTCCCATTAGTACTGACACTCTACACTACTGCTCATTTTACTACTACTGCTTACTATTAACAAAGTAACGTTAATTAATACTGGTACTATTAAAAGTAGTGCTACTACTACTATCACTACTACTACTACTACTACTACTAGTAGTACTACTACTACTGCTACTACTACCACCACCACTACTACTACTACCACTGACTACTACCACTATTATTGCAACTGATAGTAACGTTTAACTACCAAAACTAAATTGCTACTTTACTATCTATCTATCCATCCACATATTGTATTGCTAATGAGTGAGACCAAATGAACATTGAAAATATTGCCGGCTACATAAATGGTTTATATTTCAATCATTGCTTGTAGACATTCCACGAGTGGAGCGTAAGATAACAGAGAATGGAAACAAATGCAGCCTTACTTAACGTTGATACTGAATGAAATGTGATTTTACAGAAGAGATAACAAATATTACAAATGATATCAGATACTATTATGGATACAGATACCATAATGATAACAGATAACATTATAATGATAATAGAATTATTATCGTTTTATCATCATCATCATCATCATCATTACTATCGCTATTACCGTTACTGATAAAAAGCTGGTCAATAACGAATATTAATCGATTCATTAATCAATCAATCAATTAATTTATTAATTAATTATTCAATCAATTAATTAATCAATCAATCAATTAGGTCAATTACCGAATCAATAAACTAATGAATACATAAAATTTGAATATTTGTGATAATATCAAAGCGCGCGCTAATTTGCAGGCATTAATGGATACACATTTTTTATTATACACTTTTTTGATAGTTCATCAGACAGACAGACTGACAGACAGACACACATAGGCACACAGACGGACCAGACGGACTTATCTGAGAGTCGAACAGACAGACAGACAGATCAGACCAGACAGAGACACATAGGCAGATGAACACACAGAAGGACCAGACAGACTTATCAGAGAGTCGAACAGACCAGACCAGACAGACAGACAGGCATGTATAAGCACTCAAAAAGAAATATACAAACAGACAGAGAAACAGACAGACAGATAAAAAACAGACAGACAGAAAACCACAAACAGACAAACAATTGCGAATAATAAACGAATTAAAAGTCTTCTTCAAAAAGTCTGATCATCTTGACATTCTTCCGTTGTGTGACCAAAAACTACGAATATGGAAAGAAGTTTATTAGCTAATTGTAGTAATATAAATACATTAAAAATTAATAAGATGACAAATCGATAATTATATTTTATATTTAAGATACAAATAACAAAATAATGGAAAAAATTGACTAATCTAGATATCAGAAACTCAGAGGAATGAATGAAAATAAACAAACAAAAACAGAGCATACAACTTAACAAAGCCTTAAACACATCACCACATCACACAAACCATCACACACCACACAACCACCAAATACCACACCGACCCCAAACCTTCACAAATTTCGCAGTAGGGCCTTTCTAGACTAGGATCGCCGTGGTACTTGGAGGCTGGATTGCCCTCGGCGTCAAAATCGTCCTCTGTGAGGCCACACTGTTTCGGGCAGTCGTCGGTGTCGTGCAGGTCAAACACGTCGCAAATGTCGCAAAAAAATCGCAGTGTCGTAGGTGTCGTTACTTTCCCAGCGTCTTGTTGCTGAGATGGAGAGGTGCTGATTTGAGAAAATGAATGATGTGGCGCTTGGTTAGAAATAATATTTTACAATTTTTTAAAAACAGTTAGTTCTTGATTCAAACAAATCTTTATTCATGCATCCCTTCTTCCATTCATACATTCATTCATATACTAACCAACCAACCAATCAATCATCAAATCAATCAATGAACAAACCAACCAACCAATCAATCGTCAAATCAATCAATCAACAAACCAACCAACAAATCAATCATCAAATCAATCAACCAACTAACCAACCAATCAATCATCAAACCAATCAATCAACCAATAAACCAACCAACCGACCGACCAGATTTCTAATGACAGAGCAGCAGACAGTTTTTTCTGTAGATCATCGTTCTTTTTCTGTATGTCAACAATCACAGAGTTCAAAAAATCTACCTGTAGACAAACAACAAACTTTTCATTTGCAGCTAATTAATTTAAATTGTAATCAATTGAAATTTTAATTAATTACATGTGTAATTAGTTTAAAATAAAATTAATTAAACTCAGTATAACGATAAGTTTGTAAAAAAAAAACAAATTTTTTAGCATTATTACCTGCGATTGAAGGCTTTGGATCTCATCATCACTGCTATTGCTGTTTATCTCTGGCAGTAAGCATCATTATTATTCACAATCTTAACAAACGAAAACACAGAGAAAGAAAGAGAAAGAGAAGAGAGAGAAATGGACAGAGAGAGAGAGAGAGAGAGAGAGAGAGAGAGAGAGAGAGAGAGAGAGAGAGAGAGACAATGAGAACTTACCATTTGAAAGGGGAGGAGCAGATTTAGACGTGATAGCTACATTTGCCGCCGTTTGTAATGCTCTAAGCTCAATCCTCATCTTTTCATTCTAAATTTATTAATTTTGATTGAATTTTATTTAATTCTAATTGAATTGAAATTATTAAGTGCGTGTGGATGAAATGAAAATTATGAAATTTCATAATTATTTCATAATTTTCATCCTCACAGGAGTTAGCTCAGACTGTAGAAGCGTCAAGTTTGTTGAACATTGCTAATGCGTAGTCACCAGGTTCGAACTATACCTCTGCAAAGACATAGATCTCTTCATACATCATCATCATCATCCTCATCAATTTATACGTCATTATAATCATTATCACCTCGTTGATGGTGCTAGAAAGTTCCTTCTGTTTAGATTCCAACGATGACGTCAACTGCTGATTCGTTGATTGGATCTGACTCAGTTGCGTTTTGTACTGATTGACGACTGCTTGCTGCCTGTTGTGATGTTGTTGGTGCATGTTGTGATGTTGTTGGTGCATGTTGCGATGTTGTTGGTACGTGTTGTGATGTTGTTGGTGCGTGTTGTGATGTTGTTGGTACGTGTTGTGATGTTGTTGGTACGTGTTGTGATGTTGTAGGGGTAGGGGGCATGTTAAGATGTTGTTGTGATTATTGATGTCGTAATTGATGTTGTTGCTCATCAATTATGAATTAATAATTCACTTATTTATTTATTTAAATATTAAGATTTGATGAATTAGTGTCGTAAAGAATTAATTAATAGTACGCACTCAGATTTCAGTGAGTCATTCTTCAAACTCAAAACTTTGAAATCTTCCGTCAGCTGGTATAAATTAAAAAAAAACTAAACCCATATAAAAAAATGATAATAAAAATCCTCATTCTATATATAAACAACGGCAATAACAACGCGTCATCGTGACGTCATCCTCGATATTAATCATTATCACATCGCAATAAGTTCATAAGAAAACTTTCAAAAATCATCATACACAAATAAACTTTCAACATTTACACAGCACCATCCTCATCATCACATCACTACGCCATAACGATCTATTACGTCATCATTACGTCACTGTATCATCCGTATTAATCATTAACACCTCACATCATGTGATAATAACCAAATCATGAGATGCAGTCAGTTCGTCATACATGAATTTAACATCATCACATTTCATCTTCAACTGAGCCAATTCCTCTGTAACCTAAGACCAAATAATATAATTAATTAATTAATTGTTTGTCAATTAACTAATTAATTAATTAACCAATAAAAAATTGACCAACCAACCATATTTTTTTCCTTCTCCAATGAACTGACTCTATCCAATAGTTGATCCTTTTCCTTAACGATGTCTTCTGCATTCTGCTTCGATCCACTTTTGAGTGCACTGTCAAGATTTTCTCGTAGCACTTTCAAGTCATCTCCAAGTTTATTATTTTCCGATCTGTAATCTCTTTCTAAATTTTCCAGTCTAACGATATTTTCTTTTAACTGAGTCATTTCGACCTCCTTATCAATGAGTGACTGTTTTGCTGCTGCGTGCGAATCTTTTAATGACGTCACTTCCTGTTGCAATGTTTCAAATTGTTTTGTCTGCGTTGATATTTGCTCTTTGCAAGTGGTCAATTCTTCACTCCGATGTTCGATATCTCTTCTTCGTTCATCAAGTTTGGCGTCTGATTCACTTTTAAACGTTGACAGTTCTTTCGATTTTGTTTCTAATTCTTTCTCTATAGAAGTTTTTAATTGTTCCAGCTCTTTCAAATTCCTTTCCATTTTAGAAACTTCCTCATCTTTCTCAGACTTCATCTTATCCACGTCTGAATTCTTTTCCAGCAACTGTTTTGAGATGTTTTCAAGTTCTTGAGATAATTGGTTGCATTTCTCTTCATTCGTTTTCAATTTTTTCTTCAAGCCATTAACTTCCTGGTTCTTCTCTTTCATCAGTTCATCACTCAATCTAGCGCCATCTTGTTTCATTCCTTCTATCTCCATCCTGCACTTGTTGATCTCTCCATCTTTTATGACTAGTTCCTGTCTTAGTTTATCGCATTCTTTTGTTAGATTGGTTATTTGTGATTTTTGGTCATCATTTGAATTTTGTAGGGATGTGCTCAGCTTTAAAATTTCTTCATTCTTCCTCTCAAGCTCTGATTTGAGTTCTGATTGAATCTTTTCGAGAGAATTCTTCTCATCTGATGAATTGAGTTTGAAGGCTTCCAATTTAGTCTTGCTATCATGTAAGGAGTTTTGAAGCAGCTCTATTTCTGATTTGAAGCTGACTACAGTTGCCTCCAGTGATTTGATATTTCCTTCTAATTTCTCTCTTTCTTTTATCGATTCAAAATTTTTCTGCGATTCTAGTTTTAGATCGGTCCTTAAGTTTTCTAACTCACTGGCAAAATTAAATTCTTTCTCTTTCAGAGTTTCGTTCAATTGTTCTTCATTTTTTTTTCTCGTTTCTAATTCTTTCTCTTGTTCTTTCAGGTCAGATGATAGATTAGAGAATTCTTTAGACAAATTATTGAACTTCTTCTGAAGGATATCTTGTTCTTGGTCGGCAGCCTCCCTCTTCGTTTTTAATTCATGGAGAATGTTTTGTTTGTCGAGTTCGTTGGCGCTCTTTGCTTCCAGCTCCAGTTTCAATTCCTCGTTCGTTTTCTTCAAAGTTTCAGTGTTTTTTACGTTGTTGTCGAGATCAATTTTCAAACTGTTGATCTCCTTCTGCAGTGAACTGATTGTCGATTGATATGTAGTGATGGTCTCACTTGAAACGCTCAGAGATTCCTGCAACTTTGTCATTTCTTCATTTTTAGAATTTAATTTAGAGTTTAAATTGGTTATTTCTTTCAATTTGTCATCCAGTTTACAATCTACTGAAATTTTTTCATCTTTCAGTCTCGAAATCTCATCGAGCACCGCCTTCATCTTCTCTTCACTTTCACTTTTCAACTTCTCAAACCTTTCGCCATCCGACCTACCAGAACTCTCAAAATCTTTCTTCATGGTGGCAATTACTTCATTGAGCCGCTGTTCCTCCTTCTCAAACGAAACCTTAACATCAGCCAACTGTTTGGTTAGGGACTGCAGTTCTGATTTTTCCTTATCTGACTGCTCTACCAACTCCATACATTCTTTCTCTTTCAACTTTGGATGCATATAAATTGAAAAAAGTTTATCAATTGAGAATTTATAATTATAAACAATGTCCGTTATAATAATATTTTTATAAATTTCTATCTGTAATAAATACTTGTAATCATTTTAATAACGTAATATTTTTATAAATTTCTATCTGTAATATTTTAAAATAAACTAACTTAAAAAGAAAATAACAGTAAATAGATCATAATACATTAAAACCAAGCAATGACTTAACCTTCAAACCTTAAAATTATATGATGTCAATCATTTAATCATTTCAAATTTTATTAATACAATTAAATTAACCCCACACTATCTCACGCACATACAAATCTCACACACACACACACAAATACCACACACATACAAACCCACACACATAAAAACCCACACACATAAAAATCTTACACACATAAAAATCTCACACACATACAAACCCACACACATAAAAATCTCACACACATACGCTCCCACACACATACAAATACTACACATATACAAATCCCACACACATACAAACCCACACACATACAAATCCCACACACATACAAACCCACACACATACAAATCCCACATACATACAAATCCCACATACATAAAAATCCAAAATTCACACGCGTGCAGAAATCCAACTGCCAACCACCTCTTTTTGAATTTTTTCCCGAGCCAACAAAGCCACCAATCCTTCAATCTCCACGACTTTTTGGTCCTTTTCAACCGACAGACGATCACATCTGGTTTCCATGGCAACTAATTTTTCCCTGTTGCGTACGTCTTCCTCTTTCAAGTTTTCCATTTCCGTTTTTAGAGTTTCTAATTCTAAGGTCTTCGTATGATTTTTTTTTGAAAATTTAAAATAATATAATTAGTATTCATTGGTTAAGAATTACGTATATACAGATATAATATGCAAATAACATCCTCAACATCTTCGTCATCATCACAACAAGCATGACCAGCAAAAGTGTTGGCATCGTCTTACAGGCAACACATTCAAAAGTGAGTATCTGCAATGCATTTTAAAACCAGCAGTGGTATTTAGTAGGTATTTAGTATAGGTGATGGAATTTTTGGGTATCGTTAACAAGGCTGGCCATCAACAAACTGACCACTTGAACGAGTTTGCCTTCCATGTTCTTGGCAGGGGATAGTTGGCACTCCTTGGCCAGTAGGTCACTTTCCAATGTTTGGATGGCATCTATCTTACTTACTAACTCTGACTTCACTATCGCTATCTGCATGGAATGATGATGATGATGATAAAAGTGATGGTAATGATGACAATGATGATTAAAGTGTTTTTATTGTTGTTGTTGATGATGATGATGATAATGGTGACGATGGGCACAACTAGAATGATCATCACCATCAGCACCATAATCATCATCAACATTATCATCATCGTCTCAATCGTCATGATCATCATCATCATCATCAATATCATCATCACAACCTCATCGACGAGGGACTTGTTCTGATTGGCCAGCTTATTTCTCTCCTCCTCCAATTCATTCACCCTCTCTCTCAACTCTTCCACAGCTATCTTTTCCGTCTGTACACATTATAATTAATAGCCCCATCATCATCAGTAGTAGTAGTAGTAGTAGTAGAAGAAGCAGTAGCAGTAGTAGCAGGAAAAATAGTGATAAAAATAGTAACAACAACAATTAACAATAACGGATAAAAAAGAACAACGACAAGAACAACAACAACATAAACGAAATTATAAATGCCAAACTGATAATAAACAGCTAAAAAAGCAACATAAAAAAAATTAGCAGAAACAAAACAACAACAACAACAAGACAACAACATCAACAACAGCAACATCAACAACAACAAGACAACAACAACAGTTCATACCTTCAACTGTTCAACAAGGCTCAATCTCTCACTCAATGTTTTGTTGATTTCCTCCTTAGTGTCGGTTGAGTTTCTCTCAAACTGTTCCTAAGTTGATAACAGGCGTTGTTGTTGTTGTTACTCTAACTAACCAATCAACCAAATAATCAATCAATCAATCAACCAGCCAAACAATCAATTAACCAATCAGTCGTTTGGTCTGCCAGTTAGTCAGTGAGTCGGTCAGTCATTCAACCAGTTACTCAATTTACCAATAATCAATTTACCAATGAATTTATCAATCAATCAATCAATCAATCAATCAATCAATCAATCAATCAATCAATCAATCAATCAATCAATCAATCAATCAATCAATCAATCAATCAATCAATCAATCAATCAATCAATCAATCAATCAATCAATCAATCAATCAATCAATCAATCAATCAATCAATCAATCAATCAATCAATCAATCAATCAATCAATCAATCAATCAATCAATCAATCAATCAATCAATCAATCAATCAACCAACCAATCAATCAATTAATTAATCAGCAAACATATAAATTCACTTTCAGCAAAGTCAATTCAAGATTGATCTGATTAAATCTCTGGTCTTTATCATCCAGCTCTTTCGTCATCATCGCGATCATTCTCGCATCTTTTTCTTTCTGGTTCTATGTACATTATAATGATGATGTCAAAAATTATGATGAGAAAATAACATGATAGTGGTGATGATGACGACGATAATGATAATGATGATAAGAATGACGATGATGATGATGACGACGATGATGATGATGATAAATAAACAACCTCCCAATCCCCTCTGTCGATTGACGCTTCTTCCATTGTAAACTGTAAATCTTCCACTTTCCTTCATGATGATGATGATGATGACGATGACGATGACGACGATGATGATCATAATGATGGTGGTGACGATTCTGATGACAGATGAAAACGATTATGAAGAAAAATGAATGAAACAAATAAATATAAAAATTACGCAATCATCATTATACGGTCATCATCAACACCATCGTCATCATCATCGTCATCATCATCTCTACTTTTTTTCCTCCTCCAGCTGATTCTTCAGTTCATTATTTTTCTCCTCCGCCAGAGACATCGCTTCCTTCAATCCATCACACTCTAATTTCAACTTTTCATACGAGAACTTCATCTCATCGATCTTTCTCTCCGTCTGAAAATGAATGATAACCATCGTCATCATCATCATCATCGTCGTAACCACCATCACTCTCATCATCATCATCACCACCATCCTCAACCTCTTCCACTTTAGTTTCGGACCTAGCAATCTCTGCCCTTTCAAAATCTCTCTCGGCCAGCAGTTGCTCTATATGCTCCTCCTTCTCTTTCAAGGTTCTCTGATGTTTTTTTTTATACGCTTACTATTGTATACAGACAGACAGACAAACAAACAGACAAACATATAGATAGACAGACAGACAGACATATAGATAGACAGACATATAGATAGACAGACAGACTGATTAATTGATTTATTGATTGATCCATAGATTAATTCAATTAAAATTGTTGAGCAAATAATGATTGACACATACTTCTAACGCATTGGGATTTCCAGACAGCGAAAGCTTCTGTTTTGATTGCTTGAGAAAAATAGCAACAGCAATCAAATCATATCTTATTTTTATATCAACCAATCAAACAAACAATCATTCATTCATTCATTCATTCATCCATTCATACATATATACATTATGGATGCACCGAAGTTCGGCCCCGGCTCCGGCCAAAATCCGGTTTTTTTTCAAATCCGGTCGAATCCGGCCCCGGCCGGATTTGGTGGCCGGATTTAGGGCCGGATTTAAGAGTCTATCAACTTTTAAAAATGTTAGAAATAGGAAAAAAATTTTATTAAATTCAATTAATTTTATGTCAATAAGTTAATGGCTAAAGCTAAGCTAAAGGCATACATGACACATAATAACAACATCACTAATTGTGAGGTGATCTGGACAATTTTCTTTATGCTATAACATGGGTTATGCATAAATTATAAGCTGATCTTTGTGTAAAAGAACTTGTGCACGTGTATATACTATATATTGATAATTGCACATGACGGATCATATAGTTATATAATATATATATATATATATATATATATATATATATATATATATATATATATATATGTAAATATTTATCTATATATATATATTTAGAGAGAGAGAGAGAGAGAGAGAGATACATACGCACATAATTTAAGAACATGGTATGTTAAAG